TTTTTTTTTTTTTTTTTTCGGAGATAGTTCAGAATAAGTTTGTGAATGGGAAGAGATCTATACTGGCTTACTTGATCTGTAGTCTATGTTGTAAAATCTAAAATGTTCTTTTTTTTCCTCCATCCTGGATGGAACTACATACATGTGAAGATATGGTCAACTCAGTTTCCTTCTGGTTCATTAATTTAGTTGTAAACTATTGAAGTTAATTTTGGATTTGAGAATAGCTGATTTGCTTCTCTAGACCAAACTTCTAATTTGGTAAAAGTTCATGTCATTTAATTCAACTGCCATGGTTATTTATCCCCATATCAGCACAAAAATGTGAACATGTTTCTTCATGTTTTGTTTTCAGTCCAGACATTAAGTTTGGCAAGATTTGAACTAAGTTATGCAAATTTTACTGTTGTGGCATATATTTAGCCATCTATTGGGTGGTGTTCAGGGGTGGTATAAAGGCCACCCAGTTTTAAACATTTTGGGTAGGCGAGTGTTGCTAGAAGGAACACTATATTGAATGAGTGGGAACATGCAGTTGGATTAGAGGTTCGTGATAAACCATTGTGTATATTCTGATTCCTACTTAACTCCCTGATTTTTCCAGAATCTATTTTATGCTGGCATAGTTATTCGAGATATAATTTATTGGAAGCATATCTTGAAATCATGTGCCTAGTTTTCTGTTTGCTGATCTTGCATAGTAAACAATAAGAACTTCAAGATTGCATAAAATGTGCTCGAAACCCAATTTAATTGGGATTTGTGACATATTAATCCAAAATAAATTATATTTGGAGTTACCAGAGACATTCTTTGTCACCTTTTTTCCTAGAATCTGCCGTCTTTTTAGCATCAAGCTGAGAAGATTGAGTGAGATGCTATGTTGGAATAACTAGTAAAAATAAGAGTAGCAGAAAATATGAAAAGAAGTTATATGACTGAAGATGTTTTCTTCTACTATCGAAGATTTGTATTGCTACTAGAAGCGATAAATGTAGTTTTTAGTTGTGGAGGGTGGGGTTGGGGGTGGAGGGGTTGGCAATTTGGCTGCACTTCAATGTAAAAAAAAAATTGTTTGGGTGGGGAGAAGTGCAAGATGTTACTAAAATGCAAATCCCATCCTAAATATAAGTATAGAGTATGGCCTAAGTCTAAGTATCTTGTACTTTGATTGAAATCCTATATGTCAATAATCAATGTTTTGGAGGACACAATATTCGTATAAATCTCCCTTTTAAAAGCATAAAACAAATGGTTTGCCTATCATAAATTATAAATGTGTCACAATCTTCAGTTTGGTGCTCATATTGGTATTGCATATATAGAATATATTAAAAATAGTTTCTAGCTTTATAAATAAAATTTGAATTTGCGGATAGTATTGATATGCAACGTTATATGATATGAATTTGAAAAATCATTTTGTTTTTAAAACTAAATGTAGGCATACAATTTGGAAATCTAAATTTCACATAAAAGGATAATATGCCAATTTTGATTTTCATTCAAGAAACTTCGTTTATAAGTAAGTCAAACTATACAAACCAAAATTTAACTTTGTAAGTTTGAATTAAACATCAACCTCTTTAAATAGAAAAATAGTTTTAATATTTATATTCATGTTATTTTCTTATTTATGCTAATACTAAAATTATTTTATTTAATAAAATATAATATATTTAATAAATATATGTTTGTGTTGTTACACTCATCTTGTATAATTACTCATCTTATATATAATAAATAAGTTAACTATGTATTTACATACATACTAACTAATGCAAATATATCATAATTTAAACCTCTATAAGTATATAATTAATTATTTAGTGAATAAATATATAATATATATGATTATATAAACATAAAATAATATTTTATAAACTATTTATAAATGCATTTTTTGTGTGTTAACTTTTATACAAAGAATATCCAAGTAAAATATGAATAGTAAATAAACATAAAATTATTTGCATTTGTTTATTTTGAATTTTATTTGTTAAAATGATTTTGTTTAATTAATTTAATAATCATCTATAGTATATATTATATATTTATTTTTTACTGTTATTTGTTGTTTTATTTTTTGAAAAACTTAATCCTAAAGATATGTGAATGAGAAAACCATGCATTAGCTACGGATGAGATGGTATCCAATTGTGCCCTTCAAGATTATCCTAGACAAGAACAAGTAAACGTATCTTAAGATTAGTTGAAAGTATTCAGCTGAAGGCATTAGGTAGAATTTAATTTATCAAGTATAAATGAAGAGAACTACCACTATTTTTTTTTGTTTTTGTTTTTGTTTTTGTTTCTGACACTCACTCTTTATTATTACCCGCCTAAATTAATATGTTAGGCACCACTGAATCCCGATAGAAGGATGATCTTACATCATTTAGTTTTCTTCTGGAGGTCGATCTTTTTATGAACCAGAGAAACTTAAGACTTATTACTCATGATGTTATTTTCCATGTACTCTTTCTTTTATAGGAGTTCTTTGTACTATTATGATCCAATGTGAGATATAATTATCTTAAAATCTGTTAGTAGGACCTTAACCATCTCTACTATGCTTATCAAAATCCGTGAATTAGCCTTTGTTTCTATTTTTTAACAAGTACAGTACATTGGTTCAGGATATTGTATTAGACCTACTAAGGGCTTTTATAGTTTCATTATTTTTTACTCCTTCGAAGAGCATGGTTTACCAAGTAAATGTATCCACAAGTTGAAACTTTGCCCTATGAAGTATAGTGAATACACTTAGTGCTGAGTGCTTTTTGCAGAGCATATTTGAGTTCCAACTGAGACTGCAAGAATTCATTGAATTGGTAAGAGCCGATAATAATATGCGAGCTATACAGTATGCTCAGAGGTATCTAGCACCTTGGGGAGCTACTCACATGAAAGAATTGCAGCGTGTCATTGCAACCCTTGCTTTCAGAAGTAACACTGAATGTTCAACGTACAAGGTGTATATCATTTCCTGCCTCTCCAACTTTGATATTTTCACTATTTTATGAACTGTTTGTTGGTGATATTGTCTAATTGTTTAAATGCGTGGGATTGCTAGCGGCATCTTTTACTCTGACGTAGGTTCTGTATATTGGAAATATTGAGTGTATCTGATAGAGGTTGCGTGAAATAAGGCATAAACCATGGGTAGTATATTCAAGAATAATAATAATTAAGCATCATGAAGAAGGAAAACCTTTTACCAGCACAAATGGTGCCATGAAACCATCGGATAAATCTAGCTCCAGCAGCTCTATTCCGTTGCTTGCTCTGATTGGAACCAACACACTAGAGCCAGTGGGGTACAAACTAGTGTTTCACCAGCTCCACCAGCACCTATTGTAACTAGTGAGAAATTTTTGTCCTCTGTCATAATTCCAAAGGATCTCATCCCTTGGTTCAAATTCCACCTCAATGTGGTGACCCTATCCACCAGATAACACGTTACTCGTCCCCTCCTTAGGATGTATAGGCAGTACCTTCAACACCTGCCGTCACGCACACCACTTTCAACTTTCAAGCGGAAGGCTACACGCCAATCTTCATATGATAATTTATTTGAGAAATGCCCTTACTATTATACTTATATATATCAGCAACACTACGACCTGTAGTTTTTAGATGTCCTTTTCCAATCTCATGGGCATCAATGGCTGGAAAGGTAAAAGATGAAGTTGCAAATGACATGGGCTGATCCAAGTTCCATTTCCTCGGTCTAGTCTTGAGGACAAGGCTATTTTCTAGTGGTCGGCAATGATCGTGAAATAAGTTATAAATTATGGAAAGTATATTGAAGAATAAATAATAATTAAGCATCCAAGGAAAGAATAATAAATCTACAGATTTTGGAGTGACTTTGGGATCTGGATTAATTGTCTTTGGAAGATAATTGCTTCCTTGCTTCTATTATTATCAGTTAAATATAATAGGGTAGTAGGACGCAATAACAACCACATTGTAATAGTTTTAGCTATTGGGCAAGAGTAGTTCTTGCTGGGCAGTTTTGCTGGGAAGCTTCAAGCTTCTGGTTACCATTTTTGCATTAATTAAAATTTCAGATTTTCTTTTCTCAACTCTTTACACTTATCAGGTATTCCAATCAATGTTCTAGCCTGTAGGGTTACCAGTGTTTCACTGATTATCTAAATGTTTTTATTATAAGAGTGGTTGCATTGTAACTCTTCTTTGCTTATTATGATCGGTAGTGTTTAATTTAGGACCTTGGCCCTTTGCCAACTTCATAAGTGAAGGTACTTTCGTGTATGAGTTGTTGACCGTGTATACTCCAGCCCACTATTGACTTTTGAGTGCTTTAGATTTCAGAGCCTTCACGTACTATGTGCCAGTGACATGTGGGGTGTTTTGTATTTTTCCCACATCGATTAGTTACTGGCTGTTATTGTGTGTATAATGTGGGTGTAGCCTTCTCGTTGAGCTAGCCTTTGGGGATGAATTTGTCCCAGGTCCCAACAAGGAGCAATTAGTTAATAATATTCCCTGTAATCAGTAGTTCCAGCTTTACTGAGGTCTTCATATCAACAGAGTGGATTAGATAATCTACTGATCAACAAAAATGTTGAATTGAGTTTGATGATTTCTGCCTTCCAGGTGTTGTTCGAGGAAAAACAATGGGGCTACTTGGCAGAGCAATTCAAACAAGAGTTCTGCAGATTGTATGGGATGACTCTTGAGCCTTTATTAAATATATATCTGCAGGCAGGCTTATCTGCACTGAAAACCCCGTATCCATACTTTCGCTATCGTTTTGGTTTTCCTAGTAGGGGTCTGCTAATTTTGGTAGTGATATATTTTATTAAATCAATTGTTGTCTCTTTCCTATATCTAATTCTTTCTCCTCCTTCAGTATTCAAATCATACCCTGCTGAAGTACTCAGAGGCTGATATTAACAAATTAATGGGTTTTGGGAGAATAGGGCATGTCTATCCATGTACTTGTGCTTTGCCTTGACTTAGCTTAGATTCTGTTATGAAGATGACTGCACGAAGGAGGATCCTTTGTCACAAGAAACCTTCCGCAAATTAGCACAACCACTTCCATATTCAAAGCAGCATCACTCAAAACTAGTTTGTTACATAAGTAAAGAGCTTATGGATACTGAGAACCCCCCTCTTGTGTTGCCGAATGGCTATGTTTACAGCACAAAGGTTTGTTATGGTTCTCATCTCATCTAGTTATTTAGAAGACTTGATGTTTACATACCGGCCTTTTGTTTTCATTTTGCAGGCACTCGAGGATTTGGCAAACCAGAACAATGGGAAAATCACTTGCCCAAGAACAGGTTTAGTTTGCAACTATAGCGAAGTTGTAAAAGCGTACATCTCATAAGTTCATTTGCAGCTGATTACTTATTGAGCTAATATCACTATTGTTTCTAGTTTGATGACTGCTTTTGCTGCTCCTGTATTTACGATGCTTGAATTGTTCGGCTTCAGGGCTCTGATGGACGTTGGACATATGTACATATGCAAACGGTTATATATTTGTGTTTCTTGCCTGTTATAATGGTTGGAAAACAGAAATAAGGCCTGTAAGTTACATTTGCACCTACAAGATGAATAGATCACTGCATATGCTGTTTAAAAAAGATAAGTTAAAACATTGAATGGCCTAAGAGATTAATTTGATGGGAGCACCTACTCTACACATGAGTATAGGGAGTAAGATCTTCATAGATGTGCCGAGATTTAGGCTGTGATTGGATATGGATGTGATTGGTTTTTTGGTAATAATAGTTAATTTTTAAAAAATGTAGTATGGTTAGTGAGAATTTAAGTTTAAATTAAAATAATGTTTAAAATAAAATGATTAAAGTTGATTTGATATAAAGTAGGAGAAAAATGATTGGAAGTGATGATTAGTTAAAATTATGTGAATAGATGAATTGTGAATTAAAATTGATGTGATGTGTAAGAATGATAGGTTGTTATTATTTCATTATATTGATAATATTAATGATAATGAAGTTGAGTTAAAGTAGAGTTAAATTTGAGATTTGATTGGTGTTTTTCCTAGTCAATTTCATATCCAATCACACCCTTATTTCAAATTTAATAGAATATCGGGTGTGGGAATTTATAAACGTCAAACAAACTAAAAAAATGTACCAAATAAAATATTTTAAGCTAAACAATATACCAATTTTATCGTAGAATGCTTATAGCCAAAGGATTTGCGCGACCTTGATGCAGACAGTTGATCCTGGATAAAATAATCGATGCTATTATTCACAAATAATTGATTACAGTTGCTCACATAAGTTTGTGTTTTGTATGGACACATGTAAAAATTTGGTTTTGGACTATTAAGTTTGATAATTATCATAAACTGTTACTTAATCTTTTTCTTTTTCTCTTTAAATTAATGTATACAACTCTTACATTTTTATTTATTTATTTCACATACTAATAATAATTAGAGTAAATTATAATTTTGATCATTTATATTTCACTACTTTAACTTTTTCGTCACCTCTCAGCTTTCCCTTCTCTTTTCACTCAAAATCAGAGAAAACCACTTAATCCTCCGTTCGATCGCTGCCGCTGCCACCAATCACGCGCGCCTGCCCAACGCGAGCCGAGCAATCGCCGTTGAGCCCGTATACACGTGCCTTTGCCCCGTTCGGCCTCCCTTCGTGCTCTTTGAGTGTATTTTCCTTGAGAATGGTACTCGATGGCTAACCCTTGCTATTTTAATGTTAGATGATATGTATTTGTTGTCCTTGGTGATTTAAGGTGGTATGATTTTTTTATACGAGTGAATTATGTGTTGTTGACATCCGAGTTTTCCAAAAGGAAACTGGATGAAGATAACCCCAAAAAGAAAGTCAGGCTGGGGAACCGGTCAAGTAAGCAAGTGCCGAGCTGAATTCAAAAAATAAAATGACCGTCAAACTCGTCTGACGGTGTTCCCGAGGTCGGCACTCGCGTCTCAACTAGGGGTGCCGACCTCACAAGGTACCGGCCTGAAGGGAGGATCCAGAAGGCTTTATGGAAGATATTTTGCTCAATAGCCGACCGAGAGTTTAGGGCGACCACTTTCGAGACGAGCGCGGGCTGGGTAAAAATATAAAACTGCCACTTGGGGGGTGATTATTGGCGATTAGGCAAGCTGTCATAGCATGCACTCTACAACATCTAGCCCAGCCATAAAGCCTGTCAGCATTAAATGCTTCCCATGTGTGCATTAAATGCCTGACAAGCAATGATTGAGAAAACCTCAAATTGCATTAAATAACTGTCATGGAGGCGTCGAACCGCTTTACAAAAACACTGTACGATAAGACCATTGAACAGTATCTGAACAGTACCACATTTAAGGATGCTATAAATAGAAGCACACTTCAATTATTTTGGGTTGTTGAATCTCAACTAACTCCACCTTCTCTCTACTTTCTCACTCTACAAATTTGTAATAAGCTCTTGTAATTATTCCAACTGTGAGTAAAGTGCCGACCTCATTCACAGGGCCGACCTCGTAATTACGTAATAAAACCTAATTAATCTGTATCTTCTCTTCATTTTCAGTCTTTCACTTTCACTAAACTTTATTTTAACCGTTTATCGGATCCGTCCATCAACAGTTTGGCGCTAGAGGAAGGGCACCATAAGTTATTTGGTGTCAACGATTAGATCTTGTGGAACTCCACACCAAACTTGTCTTTTTTCTCACCTTTCAATCCTGAACTTGCTCGAAAATGACTTCTGTAAGTTCTGAAGATTGACAGTAAATCGATGAACCTTCTGGCGTTCACATACTTCACAATATTCACGAACATATTTAAGGGAAGTTGTTTTTAGTTTTATTGATAACTCTTTTTGTTATTAATTATTATTGACTATTAATAAGTGTGTTTATTATGGCAGGTCCATCGGGATAAAATCGGGATTCACTTTCCTTAAAATGCAAGAAAAAAAGATTGCGGCTTTGAATAGAAGAGACTTTCCTTATGTGATAATAACTTGGACGCAAAGAAAAGGAGAGACTTACCAATTGATGCTCGAGGATAAAAGGAGAACTATACGCATGTAGAGAATGCCTTTTGCACCTCTGATTTTATTTCGTTTTTGAGTATTCTTTGTTTATCGAGCGGAGTGAGATTTTAGATATACATTATTTTGTGATTCTGTAACAGAGTGTTCGGAGGTTCATTCTGAAATAGTTTGAGGGATTCGAACTAGAAAATCTACAAGGGAGTTGTGGTCAAATAAGTAGTTGTGTGAATCACTGTTCAAGTAGTGTAGAGGGAGTCTATACTGTAAACCCTTGAAGAGTGTTTGTGATATTCACATTAATGAAAGAAATCTGAAGGGAGTCTCTCGTGAAGGGTCAATTCCAAGTGAATCTGCTTTCGCGTTTGTTTGAACCTTCGCTTAGATCTGTTTTAATCAATTTATATGTAATTCTGGATACTTGGTGTACGAGTATCAAACTTCAACTTCGTCTGGTCATAACAAGTCCACCCGTCAGTCCGGAGCTCAGTCTCACCGACGTAACGCCGTGGAGACCTCCCACGTACTCAACAGGGAACACAAGCTCCTGTTCCTCTAGTCCCAACCTTTGTTGCGGCTATGCAGCACCCTGACGTCCTCAAAGTCCTTGAGGGGGCTTTCACCAAAGCCTTGGCCAGCCACGCGGTTGGGGCAAACACAGTGGCAGCAACGGAGAACCCGGGCAACACACTACTCCAAACCCCCAATAAAGAGATCGGGGGGCAAAGGAAGAATCCTGACAAGTCCAAGACCACGGCCCAATCGCCCAACAATGAAGCCCATAATCGCCGCGAGAAAAGTGCGAAACCGGTGCCCACCGAACAGACAGGCAAGAGCTGCCCAAAATTGAGCCTACAGATTGTCCGCCGTCCTATCCACCAGCGTCTGGGCGATAGAACTAATCATGACCTCAGGGAGGTCATTGAGCGAGGTAAATCTATCGGGCGCGATACCGACGAGATCGCAGCCCTAAAATGGAGAATTGCCGAGCTGAAAGACCAACATCAACCCCAGGGGGAACCTTCACCACTTCCTCCGCCGCAGACAACTCCCCGGGTCATGGATCACGCTTTACCTATCTTCCCCGACGTCCTACAGAAACCCGTGCCGACAAAAATTAAAGTGCCACAGCTCGGACTCTACGATGGGAGCTCGGACCCGACTCCCACATCGGCCTCTACACGTCCTGGATGGATCTGCACGTCGCAATAGACGCCTTGCGTCGTCGCATGTTCTCCTTGACGCTGGGGCCTAAGGCACAGAGGTGGTATCACTCCTTGTACTCCATTCCATCTCCACATGGGGGCAGCTCAGGTCAGCATTCTGTTCACACTTTATCGGATTGCAGATCAACCTCGCCCCCAAGGAGTCGATTGCCAATATCGTCCAAGGAGAGGACGAGAGTTTGAAAGACTATATCTCTGGGTTCAACGACCGAGTTTAGAACATGGATCAGTGTCATCCTGAGACCTTGCTAGTGTCCGTACAGGCTGGTCTGAGGCCGAAGACATTGTTCAAATGGTCCTTGTGCCAGAACAAGCCGACCACTTACCAAGAGTTTCTCGCGCTGGCCCAGGATTATATCATGAGAGAGGAGTCCATGTCCATCCCAACTTTTGACTCATCGCCGTCTAAAGGCAAAGCCAAAGAGGAGAAGTCGGGAAAGCCGAGCAAGTCATTTGCTGAGATTCAGGCATTGCGGAAACAAAAAGCCGAGGAGCTCAAAGAAAACTATCAGTGCGTCTTTTCAGTGGGGCAACCGCGGTCTATGAGGAGATCAAGGCTAAAGGATTTCTCCCCGTGTAACACCCCGCTTATGAGAGTAAATTTTTCGCAACTTGTTTCGAAAATGCTCATAAATTTTTCGATATCTTATTAACTTTAGTAGGGATGCTACTAAAAGTTATCCGCTTTAGAAAATCTTTTTCCTTAAAAACTTAGTCTAGCAACTGGGTTTGACATAAATAAAACAGATTTTAAATATCAAACAAGTATGTAAACTGGACCTGTTCATACTGGCGAACAGATAAATTGTTTAAGTCTGAAGTTATTGTCACACATGTTCGAATCTGAAAACGTAGCGGAAATCTTGCAAGCGTTGCATAATAATTATACAAACCGAATGTAATATCCCGTCATTTTATTAATATAAATCACGTTTTAGTTCCGATATACTAATATTTTCGAGTATTATTTTTCAGAATTAATTATTTCAGTCAAGATTACCGAAATTATTTTCGACGTTCCGTTTACGTTCGGAATAATTTGATAATTCAGTATTATGCTTAATTAAGTAATTAAGAATTTAGCTATGAGTAATTATAAATTAATCAAGTTTAAGAGATTTAATAGCCGTGAGCAACTTAAGCATGTAAAGTTTCCCAAATTTTAC